GGGTGTGGGTGTGTGAGTGTGGGATGTGGCTGTGGGTGGGTGTGGCTGTGGGTGTGAATGGGTGTGGGTTTGGGTGTGAGTGTGGGTGTGGGTAGGATGCGAGTGTGGGTGTGGGTATGTGGGTGTGGATGTGAGTGGGTGTGGGTGTGTGGCTGTGGCTGTGGGTGTGGGTGTGTGGCTGTGGCTGTGGGTGTGGGTGTGGGTGTGGGCGGGATGCGAGTGTGGGTGTGGTGTGGGTGGGTGTGGGTGTGTCTTTGGGTGTGGGTGTGGGTGGCATGCGGATGCGGGTGTGAGTGTGGTGTGGGTGTAGTGTGGGTGTGACCTTTAATTAAGTCCATAGCCACAGCCACAACCAGACCCGCACCCACACCCACACCCACCACACCCCACACCCCACACCCCACACCCCACACCCACCCTCAAGTAATGAAAATATTTGAAGAAGATCTATTTTAATTTTATTCAACAATAAAATCAATTATTGATATTAGTATAGTTGAATAATCCAGAAAAATTATACCTGATGAACAATTCTATGTTCATTTCTTTCTTTTTTTTGTACTCTTTTCGAATATGAACTTAGAAAATTTATCTTAGTTTTTATTCAAGAGTAATGAAACAATCTTTGAAAAGCTCAAAAAATTACATTAGACGGAACATGTGAACCGACGTTTCCGATGAACATGTTTGTTCAGTTTGGCCAACTCTTAAAACCATTTCAAACAAGCCAAAAACTATAGATCGTGACCAGTACTTGAATATGAGCTTAGAAACACTTCTCTACAACATATGAAATTGAATTAAGCTGTTATTTTCACCTAAATGAAGCTACAAGCATTTACGAATATTGAAGTGCTTGTTCGAAAGACAAAGATAAATAAAGATCCTAATTTTTTACACTCTTCAAAGGTTATTTTCACTATTTCAGAACAAAAACTGAGACAAAATTTCTAAGCTCATATTCGAAAAGAGTACAAATACATAGTTTTTGACTCAAGTGAAATACTTTCTAGTAGGTTAAAGGTGAACAAACATCTTGTCTAAATACTTTCTGATAGATGTATTTATTTCAATGTGTCGAAATTTGACAAAGAGAATTTCCGATCATGTCAGTTTGGATACTCATCATGTGATCCAAATGATAAAAAAAAGGAGTATAGAAAGTTTGATGAAACATTGATATTGAATCATTCATAAGAATAATACAATATAGAAATGATACTTGTTATTGATCTCTAATACAATACATTCTAAACATATGAGATTTACATATTTGCTATATGTAAAAATAAGACATTCGATTAGTTTCATTGATTAAGAAGAAAATCCTTTATATTTAGAATAAAGATATAAGTTGATTGACTAATCCATCACTATGGTTAAGTTTGGAAAAGAAAATTCGAATCATTGTTGTTAAAATTTGTCATATATTTTTGGATGATCTATACTATGTTCTAAAACCCGAGGATGTGAGTAAAGAAGAACTGTACCCATACCCTGATATCTTTATATCGATACTTATCGAATAAATTTCAAATGATTAATTATTTTTATTATTTAGAAAATTAATTCAATGTTACTTAACGATCGTCATATTAAAAAAATTTTTTTTTAAAATTTCTTGATAGTTTAATTGACTATGTTAGTTAATTATTAAAATACAATATCAATTTACAAAGAATAAAAAATAAATTATTTTTGAAAAAGATCAAATCTCACTTACAATATGTTTTTTTTATCATAGATTTTATTCATATGAAACATAAAGATAGAATCATTGAAGAATTTTCACTAAAGTACATTGTGAACCAAATATAACCAAAATCAAGATAATCATAATGTTGGATAGTCTAAAATATCTACTTTTAGGATATATATTACTTCAACCTATATTAATGGTTTTTCAGGTGGTTGAGAAACGTATTTTCGAGCTTCCTATGAAAAAATACATAAAACAGGCACTTTTAATAAAGAAAAAAGAATGCGATAGGTGACAATACATATTCCATTCAATGCACTTTAACGAATACTTTCGAGATTCAAACCAAAGAAGCTCTGAATCATGAATTAAAAACCTATACACTGTGTAATGCATGCTAGCAAATCTACTTAAAACTTCTCTTCTATTTATCTAAATTGAATAAAAGTTTATTCTATTTGTTCATTTATTTCCATTTTACAAACACTAATTTATTTGCAAGTGTATCATGTAACGGCATCTGACTAAAAAAAAGAAACACTTTCATCTAGTTAGTTTGATGATATGTAGTGCTAACCAATGTATTTAATGTTACAGTACATATACCATCCTATTGTGAATAAGATTAATGCACCAAGAATCTTAATGCAGTATTACACGATACATATCTAATGCATTGACTTGAACTAGATTTTAGACTTTTTTTTTCTGGAATACTTTTGCTTGAGCAATGTTGACGTTAAGCAAGAAAAATAGACGAATAAAATATGTATCAGAACTGAAAATCAAACAGTATATCGTGCATAGTTAATGCCTTAACCGCTAGACAAGTTACTTATTTCTATACTATATAATTCAACAAACATTTTTCTATAAAATCTATAATTGCCTGATGATCAGTACTGATTACGAATCATTTTTGAACATCATAAAACATGATCATCAACTTAGGTTGCAAACACAAAAAAGAACTTGTATTAACATGATAATGTTTTGTTTATTAAATAGTAATCAAAATGCACTTATTAACAAAAATATTATTTACAATTATATTTATTTTAATGTTTTACTCAACAATAATACAAACAGCAAAATGTAGTTGTTCATGTTGTTTTAGTAATTTCTGTAAACCAGAATCATTACCATCATTACATGTTGATAGTTGTTCTATGTGTAAAAGTACATGTAATGATGTTTATCCATCAGAATATGGACGAGATCCTGATGTAACAATTTCATCATGTAGTTCTGGACTCTCTATTGGTACAATTATTGGTATCATAATTGGAATTATTGTTATAATAATAGTAGTTCGACTTTGTGAACATCGTCCAAATTATATCCAAAGATAGATTTAAAAACAAAAGAAAGAGACAATGTAAACATAAAAAATAGAAATTTTTTTGATTTCAAATATTTACAAAATTCTGTTATTGTTATTTTATTTTTAAATTATTGTGTGTGTATTACCTATTGTTTTTTATTTGCTCATTCTGATAAATAATATAATTTTTGTACACGATTAGAATAAAAAAGAAGTTATATAAGTTTGAATATACTCAGCGCCATTTTTTGGCAAAAAAAACGCTTAGAACTGTCATTTTTATACAAAAAAAAAACTCACCCAGAATACTCGTTTTTTTTATCAAAATGAGGGTGTGAGTAAAGAAGACCTATACCTATACCGTAGGGGTGTAACAAATCCTATTTTATCTTCATAAAGATTGTAAATTCTCGGTATGAAAACCCCTAAATCTTAGCAGCTCTCTTTATAGTTTTGGGCATTTTCATACCGAAAATTTACAATCTTCATGAAGGTAAAATAGGATTTGTTGCATCCCTACTCACATCCAAAAGAACTTCGTTTTTGTAAACTTTGATGCTCTGCGCTCGTACATTTTGAGAGTAAAAGTACAATATACAGCAACAGTTTGTTTAGGATTTCCATTGTAAATTCTGATCAAATTCACTTTTCAATTATGACTGAGAACTCAAAGAGAAAAAAAACGCGACTTCAGTACTTTCTAGTACAGAAGTAGTACAAGTACAATGCAAGTGAAATACACTACTTCACCCATGCTCTCCCCTTGTAGTTCATTCGTACTTCGAGGTACGAAGGTCGACAATCTACCAATCTATCAGCACCCTTTCGGCACCTTTCAACATTTTTAGATGCCGAAGTGTTGTAATTACCCCTTTATATAAGCTTCATCATATTATATGTTTCCATATCATTTGTAGTTTGATAGAGATTTTGCTTATTGTCATAAGAATAATTATTATCACAAAATAGAACAAAGAAACATATCTAATCGGTGTTTTTTTTTCTCAACTTCGATTCGATCTCTAACATAATGTTGTTTAAAAAAGTGAATGATTGAGTTTTGACTAAAAATTTTATCTCTAAACAGATTTCATGAGCGTTAGAGTGCTCTGAAAGTTTTGGCGGTAAATGAATGCTACTTCTTTGAATATTGAATGTTCAAAGAATGATTATGGGTCACATCGAAATTGTTTTTGTCGAAACTTTCGAAATTCTAATGAAGAAAAGTTTCAATGACTGACTTTCTCACTCTATAATACTTTTTTAGAAATTGAAAACTTAACATAATGGATATGCTCCTGAAAAGATTGTATATAGAGAGATTTTCTTTACAGGTTCTTTTAATCTAATGAAGTTCTAGTCATAGACAAAATATGAACTTCATGAGTATCGAACAGTTGAAATGAATTCTAACAAGACCGGATCTGATTGTATATGATTTTTCTTTGTGCTTTTCAGAATCATCGATTGTAGCAAGTCAATAACAACATGCTTAATTTATCTGATTTGTACAAAATAATTTTTGAAGCTATTGAAAATTCATACCTTCTACTCTGTCGCTAGATCACCGTTATACAAACGCCTTACACAGGAATTATTGACTGTTTTTCAAGTGTTGTGTGTTATGAGATTTTCCTTTTCTATTTAGTGTCATACTTTTGAGCACCATCTTTTTCAATTGGTACCAACTTCTCATTGATTCTTGAGGGTGTGGGTGTGGGTGTGGGTGAGAAAGAGACCAATACCCACACCCACATCCACCCACACCCACACCCACACCCACACCCCACACCTACACCCACACCCACACACCTACACCCAGCCGCTCACACCCATACCCCAAGGTGATAGAGAAGGAATGCTGAGAGAAGAGAGAGAGAGAAATGGATGTGATGGCATCTTATACAGTGAACTTGCACGGCATTCAAACAATACTTTCAGGTCAATTATAACACGAACTATCCAAATACACTCAGATTACAACGTAATGTTTGTTTTCGCAATGATATTATTCGAACATGAGCGAGCTCATGTTCTCGGTGAGAATCATTCTTTGTTCAAAAATCTAATCATGTTCTTCCTCGTCTTTAGTTTTAGGCTTCTTCCATGAACAGTCGCGTCCTGATCGCGGTCAATATCTAGCAGTGCATTACGAAAATATAAAACCCGGCATGGTATATTCAATTTTTATTTTGTTATTTGTATAGATCGTTGTATAAATGAATCATTGTTGTAGGCGATCAACTTTCAAAAATATTCATGGGAAAGAGATGTAGAAAATCAAGGCTCTGCCTATGATTACAACAGTTTGATGCACTACGATCGTACTGACTTGACGAAGAATGCCAAGCCAACTCTCACATCATGCACAGCTGGTGCTCAGATTGATCAAAGAGAGAAACTCAGTCCCATAGATATTGCCAAGATTCGTCATTATTACAAATGCTCCTAAATTTTCCATTGACTTTTCTTTTTATTGATTTTTTCCAACATGAACGTTTGCATGTGGACATATCTTGAAGAGTGGCGAAATATTAAATATTGATCAATAAATTGTATTCTATCTTGATTGTAAAAAATGTCTTCAAAGGACTGAAGACAGATATGAACCTAAGTTGACTCACCAGTGTTTTTTTGTGAGTTCAATCCAAGTGAATTATATATAGTTGACGAGAGAGCTCTCTTTTCTGAACATTTGAGTGTAAAAAAAGTCTCAACGTATCTTGCACTGTTCTATGGCTGTATCCTCCGCAAGATGAGCTCCTCATGTCTTATAGTCCTGTCCAACGAATCCAGCATGCATTATCCATGGTCAAGACTTGCCTAGTGAAGGTTAGCTTCATACATCTCGAATTTTGACAGCAAAAAATGTGACTTTTTTGTTTTGCTTTTAGAATTAGAAAAGATCATTAGTCTCGTTGAAAAGCAAAAAAATTCATCGATTATTTGCTTTGAAGAGAGAATAACACGGAGATTGAAAATCAAAACTGATATTCTTTTCTCATCGATCAATCCAAGTGATTTCATTTCGATTGAGAACAAATTCTACATCGAGCCATGGACACCTTTATCAATGAGCGATTTTCAACCAAGTATAAGCAATTGAAATCGAATGAACTCATTCAATACCTGTCTCAATAGTACGAACAAGCCATAACACATTTGATCACCTATCGATGTGTTCACAAATTCATTCAGAATATATTCAATATCGACAACCAACGACATGTTCTGACTATTCTTGCTCTTTATTTGCCACATTTATACGAGGCAAACATCGACTGATCCTATTTGGATAATAGGGTATGGGTGTGCGTATAGGTTTTCTCTTCACCCACATCTACACCCTTCTTCCCAATTCACACATGTTCAATAATGACTCAAGAGTTGGGAACAAGCATGCTCGTCATGAATTTTAAAGCTGAAAGTATAGTTTGTTCTTCTTGCAAAACTGTACTATATTTTTTTCTAAAGATATATTAATTATCACTAGTTGTCCACCTAACATTTATTATAATTAATATAGTGTTATGATTTAAGTAGTAGATTTATTGCCTAGACAAAGACAACCTTCATACAGAAACAAGTTTCAACATGTTAAGATTTCGTTATAACTTCATTTTAACAATTTTTTTAAACACATTAAGATAGTATGAAATGGTTAAAATGAGTGGACTTTTTGCAAATTACCTATTTCTATCAGTTTTAAAGCGATTAAGATTCGAACTGCGTCAAAATGTGAAAATGAAATTTTTGCTCGTTTTACACATCTTTTATAATAAATATTTTGAAGCATAATAATATGATAAAGTGATATGATCATTGCAACAAAAACGTCAACATTGTTTTTTTTTCTTTGAGTAGATACAAAAGGCTAATGATAATGTGAGTCTTTCTTGTCAAGATATTGAAAATATTTGACTTATTATTTTAATTGTGAAACAACTACTATAATATACAAGGATGTAAGTTTTTCTCGAAGAAAAGATTCATATCACCACAATTAAATACACATTCACACTCTATATATTTGCAATGAAAATGACTCCACTGAATATCATGTTTGTTTCTATATACAAAAATATTAAATAAAAGAACAAGTTAATATTTATTTATTCTATTATATATGAGCTTATTTTTCAAAAAAAAAAGAAGCATTATTATTTCAATCATTTAATATTGATTTTCTATTCGAATTCGATTTCAAGAGGAGAAAAATAAAAAGAGATGTTGATTAAAATGAATTAATTCGAATTTCTCTTCCGAATTACTAAAAAAACTAATACATTATTAGACGTTTATTGGAAGTGAAAAATTTCATTAGGATTGACAACATTTTCTTCAGCTAAAAAAGCACAAATATATTCGTTACAATCATCACAAAAAATGTCGAATAAATACAAAAAGAGCTTATTAATTGTGACCATCAGTTGTATACAATGTAGAAAATAGATATGTTCATAGTTAATATATATGCAAAAGGATGTCTGATCACTCTCATAGTTTGATTTCATTCATAAATAAAGAATTTTTCTAATTTATCATTCCAAAATATCTTGTTAAATAGTAGAGAATCATGGTCAATAAGACAGAAGTTGAGAATATATATTTTAATTTTATATAAGCAACTATGAAGTCATATATGAACAAAAAAGAAATTGCGAAATTTCTTTCGGCAATAGTTAAATACAATGAATTTGAATTATAAAAACTATTCATACCGAAATTTGATGACTTTATTCAATTATATTGTAATATTGATTCGATTCAATGAAGAAAAATTTAAACGAATAATAATATTTGATTCGCAAATCATATCTAACATGGACCTTGACGCGACAACTTTTTATGATTAATTAAGAAAATCGTTAAAAACTTTTTTTTTTTAAATCAATTGTAGATAATGCGTTTATTGCCTTCAAGAGATTTTAGTTGTCAGCATCGCCAAGACAAAAGACAAAACTGTCAAAAAATCAAGAACTGAGAAAAAGTCGATACAAGTTTTTATTTCGTTTTCTAGTCACCAAT